TTGAATCATCTCACCGCACACGATATCAAACAGATCAGGGGCGCGCGGCTATGCTTCTTAACACGACACCAAAAAAATCATACGCAACACTGCGCCAGGCTGCGTATCGACCAATCAAATACGAAGCCTCATTCTCATTCGTTCTAGCCATGTCCAACCGCCATCGACGTCTAGCTTTAGCTCCGACCTCAGAGGAGTGCCGTCTGACCGCGACCCTCCGGCCGCCTGCCGCGGTGAGTCGTGTTCGCGGCGGCTCGCTCCGTCGAGGCCAGCGGCCCCGTGCTGACGAGGCGCGCACACCCCCGACCGGCGGCGCCGGAGGCCGACTGGGCGCGGCGAGTCGTGTTCGCGGCGGCTCGCTCCGTCGAGGCCAGCGGCCCTGCGCTGACGAGGCGCGCACACCCCCGACCGGCGGCGCCGGAGGCCGACTGGGCGCGGCGAGTCGTGGTCGCGGCGGCGCGCTCCGTCGAGGCCAGCGGCCCCGTGCTGACGATGCGTGCACACCCCCGACCGGTGGCGCCGGCGACCGACTGGGCGCGGCGCGCCGGATCGGCGCCGACCGGAAACTGGCCCTGTGATATGACTCGAGTGCAGCACATCAGAGAGCTAGCTCCGGCCGGCGCCGCTCCACCCGACCGGCGGCGGCGGCGGCGGCGGCGGCGGCGGCGGCTCCGGCCCGCACGGTACTACCTCTGTGATATGACTCGGGCGTAGCACATCGCAGGAATAGGGCCGCGCGCGTCGGAGCCGTTGTCGAGAGACCCACGAGCGGAACACGATGGCAAGCGCATCCCAGACGTCCGTCGCACCTTCCGTATGCTAGGCCCGTACAATCTCCACGTCGATCCAGCTTTTGCTGTCAAAAAGTTTGTTCGCCGACGATACGCAACGACTTGGTTCACCTTGGGTTAGTCACTGATGACGGGCAGCTAGGATGCTAAGTCCCCAAGACTTGCCATCCGTGGACGCACTTTGTCCGGATGGCTTAAGGAACACCTACTTCTTTTCGCATGCACCTCTGCCCTAGGCGGCTATACAGGGACCAAAGCCTAAAATAAATATCTTCAAGATAATGTTTAAGACTCCGAAAACACAACATTCCAGTATATGCTCCCGACGAACACTCATAGAGCCGCCCGATAACTGTGTCCACAGCGGACTTACAGTTTTGATCCCCTCCCCTCCCTCAACCCCCAACCCAGAGGTTCGGACACGGACGCGGGAGGCCCAACACCCACGACTGCCGGCGGCGCGCTCCAGACGCGCGCCTGCCGGCCCGCGTGTGCGTACCCTGCTGCTGATACGGCTCCGGCTCGGGCTCCGCCGACGTCAGCGGCAGCGGCAGCGGCGGCGGCGGCGGCGGCCGGGGTTGGCTCGGCTCGGGCTCCGGCAGCGAGCTGTGGCTGGCGGCCAGCGCCGAGTCGTCCGCCCCGTCGGCTGGGCGTGGGTCGTCCTGACAAAGCAGCAGCTGGATCTCGCCCGAGTCCGATCGCACGTGCAGCTGGTACACGCCCTCCTGCCGGCCGACGACTCACTCAGGCCCACGACGGAGGGAGTCTCGCGTAACGAGGCAAGATGCGAGCCTGTCGGGTCAGAGCACCGCGAGGACAATGATGGGAGAGAGGGCGGCACTTAGGCGACTGCAGTCACCACTACTTAGTCCAGAATGACATACCACCGCACGAAGCACAGCAACACAGCAACACACAACAGCGCACAGCAACACAGACACACAACTGGTAACATGAGCGTTGTTAGCATAAGACGCGCGCTGCGCAGGCCGCGCCGTCCGCCAGCGTGCGCCGACGGCGACGGCGCGCTCACCCGGGCCGGGTCGGGCACGCGCAGCACGGTGTCGTCGGGCGCGCGCACTGCTACCACCGTCTGGTCGCGCAGCTGGGGCAAGCCGCGCAAGTCCTGGTAGCGCACGTAGGCCGGCTGCCGGCCGAGCTGCCGCAGCCGCTCGGTCGCGGTCGCGATCAGCGCGTCCAGCTGGCGCTCGCGGCTGACCGCCGCGCGCTCGGCCGGCCCAGGCACGCCCGACGCCAGGCGCACTTGATTCTTGGACCGCTTCTCCAGCAGGCCTACGCCCTCGAGCACGTTGGTGATGTCGTAAATGCGCCGCTTCTGTGGCGGACACCTTGCGTCACGTGGAGACGGCAGCGTGCGGGATGAGCGCAAACGACCATTTTGACGCGGCGTCAGCTAGCGCAAACAACCATGTCGACGCGGCGTCAGCAGCTGACTGCTGGCAAGCGACCGGCGCAGAGACCACAGAGATCAGACGCCAGAGAGAGAGAGAGAGAGAGAGAGAGAGAGACAGAGAGAGAGAGAGAGAGAGAGAGAGAGAGAGAGAGAGAGAGAGAGAGAGAGAGAGAGAGAGAGAGAGTAGAGAGACAGAGACATAGGACAGAGACAGAGACAGAGACAGAGACAGAGACAGAGACAGAGACAGAGAGACAGAGACAGAGACAGAGACGAGACGAGAAGAGACAGAGACAGACAGAGACAGAGACAGAGACAGAGACAGAGAGCAGAGACAGAGACAGAGACAGAGACAGAGACAGAGACAGAGACAGAGACAGAGACAGAGACAGAGACAGAGACAGAGACAGAGACAGAGACAGAGACAGAGACAGAGACAGAGACAGAGACAGAGACAGAGACAGAGACAGAGACAGAGACAGAGACAGAGACAGAGACAGAGACAGAGACAGAGACAGAGACAGAGACAGAGACAGAGACAGAGACAGAGACAGAGACAGAGACAGAGACAGAGACAGAGACAGAGACAGAGGACAGAGACAGAGACAGAGACAGAGACAAGAGACAGAGACAGAGACAGAGACAGAGACAGAGACAGAGACAGAGACAGAGACAGAGACAGAGACAGAGACAGAGACAGAGACAGAGACAGAGACAGAGACAGAGACAGAGACAGAGACAGAGACAGAGACAGAGACAGAGACAGAGACAGAGACAGAGACATGAGACAGAGACAGAGACAGAGACAGAGACAGAGACAGAGGACAGAGACAGAGACAGAGACAGAGACAGAGACAGAGGACAGAGACAGAGACAGAGCCAGAGACAGAGACAGAGACAGAGACAGAGACAGAGACAGAGACAGAGACAGAGACAGAGACAGAGACAGAGACAGAGACAGAGACAGAGACAGAGACAGAGACAGAGACAGAGACAGAGACAGAGACATAGACAGAGACAGAGCAGAGACAGAGACAGAGACAGAGACAGAGACAGAGACAGAGACAGAGACAGAGACAGAGACAGAGACAGAGACAGAGACAGAGACAGAGACAGAGACAGAGACAGAGACCAGAGACAGAGACAGAAGACAGAGACAGAGACAGAGACAGAGACAGAGGACAGAGAAGAGACAGAGACAGAGACAGAGACAGAGACCGAGACAGAGACAGAGACAGAGACAGAGAACAGAGACAGAGACAGAGACAGAGACAGAGACAGAGACAGAGACAGAGACAGAGACAAGAGACAGAGACAGAGACAGAGACAGAGACGAGACAAGAGACAGAGACAGAGACAGAGACAGAGACAGAGACAGAGACAGAGACAGAGACCAGAGACAGATACATCGACAGAGACCGAGACAGTAGACAGAGAACGAAGACAGAGACAGAGACTAGACAGAGACAGAGACGAGACAGAGACAGAGACAGAGCAGAGCCAGAGACAGAGACAGAGACAGAACCGAGCGAAGACATATACAGAGACAGATACAGATACAGAACATAGACAGAGACATAGACAGAGACAGAGACAGAGACGAGACAGAGAGCAATAGCAGAGACAATCAGAGAGCAGAGAGCAGAGAGCAGAGAGCAGAGAGCAGAGAGCATAGAGCAGAGAGCAGAGAGCAGAGAGCAGCGATCAGAGAGCAGATAGCAGAGAGCAGAGAGCAAGGCAGAGACAAGAGCAGCGCAGAGAGAAGATCAGAGAGCAGAGAGCAGAGAGCATAGAGCAGAGCAGAAGAGAGCAGAGAGCATAGAGCAGAGAGCAGAGAGCCGAGAGCAGAGAGCAGAGAGCAATAGAGCAAGAGCAGAGACAAGAGCAGAGATCAGAGCAAGCAGAGAGCAGAGGCAGAGAGCAGAGAGCAGAGCAGATGGCAGAGAGCAGAGAGCAGAGAGCAGAGAGCAGAGAGCAGAGAGCAGAGAGCAGAGAGCAGAGAGCAGAGAGCAGAGAGCAGAGAGCAGCAGAGAGGAGCAGAGAGCAGAGAGCAGAGAGAGGAGCAGAGAGCCAGGAGAGCAGAGAGCAGAGAGCAGAGAGCAGAGCAGAGAGCAGAGCGGCAGAGAGCAGAGCGCAGAGAGCAGGAGAAGGCAGAGAGCCGAGAGCAGAGACGCAAGAGAGCAGAGAGCAGAGAGCCGAGAGCAGAGAGCAAGAGAGCAGAGAGCAGAGAGCAGAGAGCAGAGAAGCAGAGAGCAGAGAGCAGAGAGCAGAGCAGAAGACAGAGAGCAGAGAGCAGAGAGGCAGAGAGCAGAGAGGCAAGAGCAGAGACAGAGAGCAGAGAGCAGAGAGCAGGAGAGCAGAGGAGAGCAGAGAGCAGAGAGCAGAGAGCAGAGAGCAGAGAGCAGAGAGTAGAGAGCAGAGAGTTGAGAGTAGAGACTAGAGAGTAGAGACTAGAGAGTAGAGACTAGAGACTAGAGACTAGACTAGAGACTAGACTAGAGAAGACTGGGGACTGGGGACTGGGGACTGGGGACCAGGGACCAGGGACCAGGGACCAGGGACCAGGGACCAGAGACCAGAGACCAGAGACCAGAGACCAGAGACCAGAGACCAAAAACCAAAGACCAGGGAGACCAGAGGGATCATGGAGACCAGAGGGATCAGGGAGACCAGAGGGATCGGGGAGACCAGAGGGATCAGGGAGACCAGAGGGATCAGGGAGACCAGAGGGATCAGGGAGACCAGAGGGATCAGAGACCTAAGAGAGAGACCAGCGAGAGGCCAGAGAGACCCGAGAACATATACAGACCAGAGACCAGAGAACATAAATAGACCAGAGAGATCAGAGAACATAAACAGACCGGGGAGACCAGAGAGCCCAGCGAGAGACCGGAGAGACCAGACAGATCAAGCTACTATGTTGTTTAACACGTTTTATCCCTAACCCTGAACGTCACCAGAAGCACACGTTCGCCGTCGCCGGTCAGCCCCGCCCGCGCGGCGTCCCGGGAGCCCCGTTGAGACGCCGGCCAGCACCTCACCGGGACCTGCAGCAGGTCGGAGGCGCGGTTGAGGTCGACCTCGCCGTGTGGCGCGCCGCGGGTCAGGTCCACGAAGCGGCGCGTCAGCAGGCCGAGCGAGGTGTCCTGGCGCGACTTCTCGGCTGAGGTCGACAGCCCGGTCGGCGTGCCGGCTGCCGGCACAGGCAGCACGCTCTCAGAACCACCGCCGCACCCCGCGGAGAGGATGGTAACTGCGGCGCTGCCGGCCGTCCGGCACCCAGCCCCCCGGTCGCGGCCACATGAGATGCCGACAGCCTCCGCGGGCGTACACCAGAGCAGGCCTGGTCCGGCGATGATGCCGACTCCAGAGCAGGCCCGGTCCGGCGCCGATGCCGACTACAGAGCAGGCCCGGTCAGGCGCCGATGCCGACACCAGAGCAGGCACGGTCCGGCGCCGATGCCGACTCCAGAGCAGGCCCGGTCAGGCGCCGATGCCGACTCCAGAGCAGGCCCGGTCTGGCGCCGATGCCGACACCAGAGCAGGCCCGGTCCGGCACCGATGCCGACCCCAGAGCAGGCCCGGTCAGGCGCGGATGCCGACTACAGGGCAGGCCCGGTCAGGCGCCGATGCCGACTACAGAGCAGGCCCGGCCTGGCGCCGATGCCGACACCAGAGCAGGCCCGGTCCGGCACCGATGCCGACCCCAGAGCAGGCCCGGTCAGGCGCCGATGCCGACCCCAGAGCAGGCCCGGTCAGGCGCCGATGCCGACTCCAGAGCAGGCACGGCCAGGCGCCGATGCCGACCCCAGAGCAGGCCCGGTCAGGCGCCGATGCCGACACCAGAGCAGGCACGGCCAGGCGCCGATGCCGACTCCAGAGCAGGCACGGCCAGGCGCCGGTGCCGACTCCAGAGCAGGCACGGTCAGGCGCCGATGCCGACTCCAGAGCAGGCCCGGTCAGGCGCCGATGCCGACTCCAGAGCAGGCCCGGTCAGACGCCCATGCCGACTCCAGAGCAGGCACGGTTGGAAGCTGTCTTCAGATGTTGCCCGACAGATCGGAACTCACAAAAAGTCAAATAGCATCTGTACACTTTGCCACTTTACCTCGGAGCCATGCTCACCAGCTCGTCGTCACAAGCGAGAAAAAAGGCACGATTATTAGCATAGTACGTCCAAGAACAAAACGACTCACAAGAATTACCAAAAATACACATGGGAACACAAGACCGCAGGCGTCATATGACCAGTTCCCATGGTTGACTCATTTGGACACCTTTGGGCAATATCCTTGTGAGGCACTTTGATACTATCATCTGCCATATGAGTGGTTCTACATGAGGGGACACCGATTCGTCCTGTCTTACATCGTTCTGACACCGGTGAGGGGTGATCCTCAGAAAAATATCTTGTTCTTCTTTGAGTTGGAGTTTTCTTTGGGGTTTTAAACACCACATCCTCATGAGACGAGTCCAAGTCTAGCCTCCTTTTCACAGTCTGTAACATGGATAATTAAATCGGCCCAAGATTCACCTCTGACTTTGGGCATGTCCCACCTTTCAGGCATCCAGGAGTTTCACAACGCACCTCATAACAATGTCCAAGCCCTATAAGCAAGTGTCACTCAAATTACATAATACTGATGATGTCCAATGCTTATGAGAGCATCAGTCTTCACTCATGCAGCAGACATGAAGTCATTACCATTCCCGACCAGCGTAATCTGGTCTATGAGTTGGCCATGAGGACTGTGAGAAAATTACTACCTGGAGCTAGGTAACTTTGCTTAGCTTAACCAGTGACCGCAAGCCTGAAACATGTGATAGAGTTAAGGACATCTACAACAGTGCACTAGATGAGTCTAATGGTCCCACTGTTCCCATGCACTAATAAACAATTAGCTAGACACAGGTAGCATCACTAGCATATACACATCAGCTAGCACACTTACCTTGAGATCTGAGGTAAATTTCCAGATAGGTTGCAAAGGAGTTGAATGCACAACTGTAGCCAAGTGGTCACCAAAGGCTGAGCTCTCATCAGTAAAACTCATATCCTTGACATCCTGCCTTGGCTCCGAGCAATGGCATGGTGCCCCTGATGTACAGCCAGGTGACCCTGCCATCAGAAGTCTGGAAAAGCAAACCATCATGTTCACAAATAATAACAGACAGCTACACATCTCACAATCTGATATATTTTCAACATTGGTTCTGTTTGCCCCATGTGTAACAATATTGCCTTGGCTCACACAGACTCCTTGCCTTACTTTACATTTACAATGACCCAAGGATCAACAGGCTTCACCTCTGCCTAATGAAAAATTTAACACTTCCCCACCCGGTGTTTTGACAACATGCCTCATGTTAATATGCTCAAATCACTGGCAATGCCACTCATATTTCCATTTACTGATGATGTTCACACCTTAAGAGGACATCAGTCATCACCATCATGCAGAATGTGACAATTCACTGCCAAAACCAATCTCTTTGCAATTTAGAAAGGTCTTTTTTGGACCTTACTAAATTGCTGACAGATCAAGACAGAAAGAAATTGCAATGAAAAATATTTTAAATTGCTTCAAACTTGAATATTTCATCAAAACATTATGCATGATTTTGACAACATCTTTCTCATTTGCCAATCAGATAACATTTTAACACACCTTGATTGAACCCATGCCAGTCACTTCAAAAATTAAAATGCCACACCAGATACCTACACAACATAGGTGCACTGAGCCTACATAGGCGCCTACATAGGTGCACTGAACCTCCGACTTGTGCACACAACTAAGGCCAGGCCAAGTTAGAGTACACTTTCAAATTTTTCAGCCTGAAAAATGTTCTTTGGAACTCTTCTGCTTGCAGTGACCTCCCTGACAACTGGCTCTCTAGGCAATGAAACCAGATGGTAAAAAGCACATGTTATGCAGACACATGATGACATGAACACTCAGAGTTTGATTCTAGATAACACTAATCTCTGTGAACAGGGTGCCAACATTTCATGTTGAGATGATGCAAAGGTAATTTAGGGAAATAATAAAAATCATGGCAACAATTGTTTAAAAAATAAGTGCAATTAAGCTTGGCATTACTTCAGCACATGAAAGTGTCAAACTTAGCACAATGATGATGCATAAGCAGCTGGTGTAGTGGATGGATTATGAATGGTGCAGTGAATGATATTTTTGCACATCAGCAGAACAGCACAGACCATGCACCAAACATTAAGCCCTCAGATCTATCACACACATGCGCTGACATGTTAACATGTTGCTAGTAAGCCATACATATTTCATGTACCATCAATTTTTTGCAGGCCGAGACCTATGTGCCTCCAATAAAAATACCCACCTTCATGGAGGTGGAGGTAACAACTCAGTAGTGGGGTTTCCTGTCTACTAACTTGTCACAAACCTCTGCTTCTCCTCTTTTATATGATCTCAATAATAAGAAAAGTTGTTTTGTGCTGCACAGACTTAGATTCTGTGAGAAATTTACCGACTTCATACTCAAATCCTCTCCGAGAAACAAGGTATTCAGAAATGTGATGATTCCAGACGCTTGGTGCTCCGCAATTCTCTCGTATTACCTAAATACGAAAAATGACTGGTAACTTACCAATGGTCCGCATTGCCAGCAACTTGTCATCCCACAGCCATCATTTTACGCCTTTCCATTCACCGCCCACCCATAACCGCGCCCACAACCAACAACGATATTTCTACCGCTTGCTATTTCATATACGCGCCTACGCGCGCTTCAAATGTAAAAAACAGCGCGCTAGCGCTTGGCTGACTATTTGAAATATCGAACGATTTCAGCATGACTGTTGGGCGATATCCCACAAGCGTGGTGCAACCACACTACAAGAACTGCCAATCGCTGCCAATTCCGTGGTGAGCTGAACTTCACTAACTCTAACTCGGCTCTTGACTACGTTTGTGTACGCCGCCATATGTGTTTTTTTTGTGGTGCTGGTAATCGTCTGGCCCATGGCAGGATGCTTTCACAAGCTGAGTGGCAAACGAAGGTCTCTCCAAGTTGGAAAGGGCGCTGGCAACCACTTTGGACCTCTTCCTTGCAGTCTTCGCGCATAGATGGTGCTAACGAGAGATCTTCTGAAAGTTGGGGCTTAGTTCCTGTATCTCTTCAAAGGCAAGAGGTCTGAACCTTGCCCCAGGGATATCTTACCTCACCCTTACCATTACCTGGGAATTTTAGAATGTAAACATGCTTGCTACGCCCGTTCTTGCAAAGCATGTTACGAAACCTGACCAGTAGGGGTTTATTTGTTGAACTTTTGTTGAACTATTGCATATCGTTGAACTCCGCTAGTTGCAACATAACTCTACCTGTCACAGGTAATTGCAGCCGGTAGAATGGAGAGGATCGGCGCTCACCGTCGGGCAGCCCCTGCACGAAGGAAGGGAAACATTGCACTCACGAGGCATGTATTACCTATACGCAAATCTTCGCAACTCAATATTCCAAAAGATCACTGCCTTGTGGCAAGTAAAGTCAGTCCGATCAAGATAACACGACACCAAGGCAGCACACAAAAACACGCACAAATCACCGCCCTCCTGATGAATGCCGCTATCCTCCTCTTTGCCCTCCCCCCCCCCCCCCCCCCCCCGGGAAGACCACGGTACGGGGTGCCATTATTCATGGGTACACGCACACTTCATCGGCCCACGCATGTGCGGGATCGCCAGCTTTCTAAACACCGGTCGCTGGTGGTCTCGGCTGAAGTCGATAACTTGCTTCGTACCGTGGTCAAAAATATTCTACACGATTACACCTGCTTCGGCAGGGGGCTAAGTCCTCTTTCTCTGGGGGTGAACAGTTGGCAACAGTTCACACCTCAGGCATGACAGCGAAACCTCTAAGAAACAGCACCCATCAACGTTTATGCAACTCGTGCCGCGACAACAACGGGATCTCCTGGAGTTTTGTCACAGACGGGTCATCCGCGGCTAGACCTGGTCCACCGCCAGGACCGCCGGGCCATCCACGGCTAGGCCTGGTCCGCCGTCAGGGCCGGTCCCCTTCGCCGCTTGCTCACCTGGGCGCGACACGCTCCACAGGCGTGGACGTGGTGAAACCAGCTGTTGACGCCACTCAGCCATTACGAGTCCACGTGCCGTTTTGGCTACACGTTCGCGCCGCCGACCTCCTCTTGACCTTTCAGCCGTAGCTGCGGACGTGGCGGTGGTATAAAGGCAGCTTTCCAGTACGACCGCGGGTAGGCAGCCCAACGCGAGATGTGGCCCCGCAGCTGGCCTGGCCCCGTCACGTGGTTCGCCATGCCCATTGCGCGCACCCTCGAATCTTTGGCTAGCCTGCCTGTACAGAAACGAACGGGTGCTGATCCAACCGTAATTTCAGGGATCTGTCGCACTGTAGCCCTCTTCCTGATCGCTACCACAGCAGCGACAGGGATCTGTCGTACTGTGGCCCCCCTCCTGATCGCTACCACGGCAGCGACCGGGATCTGTCGCAATATAGTCTCCTCCTGATCGCTACCACAGCAGTGACAGGGATCTGTCGCACTGTTGCCCTCCTCCTGATCGCTACCACAGCAGCGACGTTCCTGTTCTGGCCTTAAACGCGCCGGCATTCTCCGAAAAAACTCAACACACAATTCCATCTGTTACAACAACCACCTTCCCATGGGGGTAACCGCCCAAATAAAAAGGACACTGATAAGTCGGGGTATGTCAATACTTACCTATAGCACCTGATCTGGTCAGGTGTTCGTCATTGTGCACACTGGTACTGGCCGTTTCGCCACCGCCAAGCACCGCTAACTACAGGTCGTATTTCTGCACCTCCACCACATTCTCCCATGGCGCCCCCAAACACATGCTGATTTATAAATACCTGCACGTCTTCGCACCTGCAGAATACCCATGATTTCCAGCACAGCAGCGTGCAAGCCATTCTCCTAAGCCAATCCTTTCATCCCAATCCTTCTTTGCTCTCCAATCTCCCTCCAGGCGCTTCCAGGCCCAAATCCGCTCTAACTACTCTGCATTAGTCATCAACCCCTGGCACATGTCTTTCCTAGAAAGTTCGTTCTTTCCATGGCCAGTGTCAATTTGGAAATTGATAATGCTAGTGTATCGCCCTACAGTAATAATGACTTGAGAACACATGGGTCTCGCCCCATCCACGATTCGGCCCCAGTGTCACTACACCCGTGTCTAACAGCTACATTCTTGTGTCCTCCTGAGCTCTGAGCAAGTGCGCCTAACTACTTATTCCTGCTCCCTCCCCTTTCCGTGTCCATCCACTTAAACTACTCGCTGTCCTTCACCGACACACACAAACTGGCCATGTTAGCCATTAAGTCACATCACATTCCTACTGTAGTTACTAAACTACAGCCCATTTCTACTTTGGCTGCTAAACTACATTCCTCCTCGCCTTCCTGTTCCTGTGCCCCACTATCCCAAACTACTCATGCCCATCTTCCTTCGCCGTTCGATGCAAAATGTCTATCTGAGCGTTTTCACTCTTTTCTCGCCTTTCTGTCGTGTTTCGACCCTATTCCCTCGCGTCTCACTTCAGGTCTCTCTTGCGGCCCTCCTCCTTTAAACAAATCGTTCCTAATCGCTCATCACACCCCTTTATATCGCCTGCACCCTGTGTCCTTACAGTCCTTTCATCAAGCCGCATTTGCTCTATTCCCCGCATTCATTCTGACGAGCATGCCTGCCCCGAGTTCTTACAGTACGTTGGTAGCTGTGACAGCAATAGGTATTGGGCTGGTAGACTCATCAACATGGTTGTCTGTCATCAACCCTACGTGCATGAAAGCTGCGCCGCCGTTTGACGTCATTCCATTTGACTCAAGCACTCTGTCCCATTTGGAGGAGATCTCTCCGCGGGGTAGAATGATAAATAAGTAAATCACCGACCTGCTGGGAACAGGCACCACGCGTCAGTGGCATTCCCCTCCCTACGTACAGGCTCGTTTCCACGTGCATGAGAAACCCTAATCCGCAAAGATTTTCTCCCTCTTCGTTCATAAGAATGTTAACGTTAATTTCTTCGGTGACGCGAAAGCGTGTGTGACGCATTGTGTGTGGCGCAACACCATCAAATTTCTGTATCCACATCCCTGATGGTTAGAGGCACCATCGCCAAGACGCGGCTGGGTGGTACGCTTTGAAAATGTTTGGGACTGGAGCCGCCGAAAACATTGAAAGAGGCATCATTTGATCCGTAACCTCGTTTAGCCGAGTTTTGGCTTCTTTGCATCTCCGTCTGATGTACGATTTGATCACTACGTCGAGAGCGCACGATATTACTAATGCGGGAATGCACATACTAATGGTAGAATCAAAGGATGTTGCCATGTGTGCTGTATAATACCTGCTCTGTGTGAGTTTACTTTTCGAGGGACGCCAAAGGACTCCGTTTTGTAACAGCATCACAACTGCAGGGATTCCGCCAAGGCCGTCTCAATCCGTGCTTCTAGTTGATTCTTTTCATGGGAATTTTTCAGGATGGATTTCCAGTGCAGCACTCTGCTAATTTCGGATGGTTAGTGAAAGATTAGGGCAGTATAAGAAGTTGTACTGACCCGATAAGCGCGTGGTAATATCTGTTTTTTACATTTCTTTTATTTTTGTTTTGTTTTTTATTTTGTTTTTTAGGTAACATCACATCTGTGAATCCGCCTTGAAAGCGGGCTCTCTACGTCTTTTCAAAGCTCTACTTGCTAGCCAACTCCAGCACGGCAGTATCTAAATCCCCTATTTCTTTTAAACGAACCCACTCGATCAAACCGGGCTTAAACTCACGCAGAAAGTGTTGATACATGAACGAGGACACCATCCGACCAGTTTCCAAGTGTTGAGATTGGGTCGGCTGCAGCCCGGTTTTGTTTGCCAATGTCCTCACGCGGCGCACGTAAGTGTTATCGGGCTCAGCACCGCCCTGTTGGCAAGCCGTTAGCTGCATCAAGTGTGCCAAGGGATCAGGGACTTCCTGAACTGATCCCTTAGCGTCCTCTTCAACTCGCAACGTAGGCCTCCCTTTCTTGGGAGCATTCACATCGGTTTGGCGAGATGCCAAAAAGGTTTAAAGCCTTTGGCCTGGACCTGTAGAAAAATGGACATCATTCACATAGTATTCTCGCAGTTTAGCCTTGCGAGCTAGGCTGGGTTTTCTGCTGCCTTCAGCAATTCAACAGCGGCTACACCCCCCTCCCTATCGAGCTTCAACACCGACATCTGCCGCACCACTCCCAGCGCTGCCTTCAGCAATTCAACAACGGCCACACACCCCTCCCTATCGGGCTTCAACACTGGCATCTGCCGCACCGCTCCCAGGTCTTTGGCTGGCGTGCCTCGGGCGTATCGTGTGATGGCGTGGTCATACATTGGCCGATCCTTGGATGGATGGCCATTAGTTCTGAAGCCGTTTCGGACGGCAGTCCCTTCGGAGCCAAATTGTCCAGAATCGGTTTAAATTTTTTCCTCAAATTTCTCCCACAGTCACACACCTCTACTCTCCTTGCGTACTTACTTCTTAGGTAGCAAGCTGGTGGCCAGATCACACCGCACATCTCACGATGCTGCTCTCTAATGCCTGTCTGTTTTCTGCGCGTGAACTTATTCGTTTCACTATCACTGTCACTAGACGGGTGCACCGCCGCCAATACAGCGACCCCACGCTCTGGGGGGCGCAGCCGCGCAGGGGAGTCCCCTCGTCCTCGG